AACCGAACCCCAACCCGACGGACCCACCCTCCGACCGACCGACCGACCGACGGACCGACCGACAGACCCAACCCACCCTACCTCCAACCGAACCCCAACCCAACCCCAAAACACAACCCGACCAACCGACCGACCAAACCCACCTTACCCCACCCAACCCACCCAACCAAAACGTAACCCTATCCGACCGACCAACCGATCGCCCGACCGACCAACCGCGCCACGGCAGCGACGGGATGAAGATTGTTTGAAAAGAATGCCAGACGGATGGATGGGTCTTTCTTCCCGATGAAATCTTCTCGTGTTTTCACGGCAATAACAACACCGCATCCTCGACTCTTCTTTTGCAAAGTTAAGCTAAAAAGTAACGTAGCCAGGTCTGCCATTCGTTCTTGTTACTGTTGTGTGACTTCGATCTACCCATCAATGATGCGCGAGACGTGTGCTGCACACAGGAAGGGGCCGAGATCTATCATGGGTCTTTCTTCCCGTTTCTTCTGTTTTCACGGCAAGAACACCCCGCATAGTATACACATAACATACATGTATCTGTATGTTCCGAATTACTTTTCAACACGATGAACAGCGCATCCACCCTGACTTTCCCCCTTGTTTTGTAGCCAGAAACGCCCTAGCGCGGGTGCTGTTGTTGCTACTGCTGTGCGATATCTCTCCCATCTATCCTATTTTGTGGGAGGCATGATGTGCTGTGTAGTTTGGCAGGTAGAGACGAGAGAACGGATCTCTTCCTGCATCAATTAAATTGCCTGCATGATCTTTCGGCGCATGTTTTTAGTTTTCAAAACGTGAACTCTTGTTGTTGAGTAGTCTAGCCAACGCGGCCTCGTGGCTCTGCTGTTATGTTGTCTAACTGCTGTGTGAATTCTCTCTATCTATGATTTGGCAGTAGGAATAAATATACGCCTGTAGAGAGAATCCGTCGGGAAGTCACACACACCACCTATTTATACCTTTACCTCTCTCCTGACACACAACAACACATTTATTTTGGAAGAAGGGACTGTCGTCTACAACCTAAGCAGTATTATGTACAGGGCACGAGATGATTCGGAACACACAGGCAGAGAGACAGAGCACGCTGCTTCGTAGCACCTTTCTTCTCTGTCAATTGCTGTGCATACGTTGCATACGTAGTACGTACACATATGGTGATGGATTGCATTTTTTTTTTTTTTCGCGGAGAGTGGAGTGTGCCCCCCATTCTCTTGCTGCTACTGCTGCTGTATCACTCATGCGCCATAACCGCGGCCGCTCTGGGCGCGAGACAAGGCGTGCCGCACCTTGCACGCCTCGGTCTCTCTCCGCGCGAAAGTAGAGCGCTGGATTGGTAGCCGAGAGGATGTTCTATAACAGACCACACAGCAGCACACAGCAGTACTCCCCCAAAACCGATTTGACCTCTATTTTTCTGTGCCTGCCGCAAAAAAACGGTCGCGCCGCCACCTCGCCACTCTCACCGTGCCACGACCGCGGCCACGCTGGGCGCGAGACGCGGCGCGCAGCATCTTGTGTGCCTCGGTCTCCCTCCTCGCGAAAAAGCCGGAGGCTGAAACACACCACAGCGCGTTTTTGAAAAGGGACCACAACTACTACTACTACTACTACTACGGCCTACAAAGTTTTATTTTATAGATACAGATTTCGCATTCGGCGACGCAGGCAACCAGGCAACGCTGCCTAATTTTTATTTTTTCACGTCTACAGCTTTCAGTACTGAATCTCCCCCGCCCATGCTTCCTCGGCCTTTCTCGCAAATTCGAGCGGGCAATATTGCAGGCCCTTCTTTGAGCTACCAGTACAAGTAGGCCCTTGTGCTGTTTATAAGTCGAGTACAGAATGGAGGTCCGCGATTTTCGATTTTTCCAGAGATCCGTGAGGAACCAGCAGGATAGGATTTTGGATTTTGGAAGCAGCGGTCCGATCTTCGAACGCTTCAAGCACCTTTGCTTGTTGCTAGACCTCAGGCCTTCAAATCGACTAGTGCAACTATTGTACTACGATATGCTTCAGATTACTTCGTATGAAGCAATAGCTGTGCCGAAGTCGGCCGTGTCTCATGCCCTCACATTGCATAGATAGGCTCTGCTTTGCCGTTCGAACAACGGACCGTCACAGCGGGAAGCATCCAACATCCAAAATCCTGATGAAAGCTCACCGAACCCGATGAAAAACATCGCGTTTCGATAATCGCGGACCGCCAATCTACGTTTGCCACCACGGCTACACTCCTACTGTAGCCTAATTGACTTGACGAACCTAGGCGGATTTCCACGGAAGGACGGTTTTTCGCGATGGAGATTCGGAATGAAATCACGTCACTGGAAAACCAAAAGTAGGAAGGTGTTTCCTGCGATGCTTTAGAGGAAATCTACCGAGCTCCCCGGCGCCCTGATCCCCGTTTTCACCATTTTCGTGAAATTTTGAGCCTCGTTTTTCGTCGGAAACTTCGCAGCTTTTATTATTTAGGCGCGCCCGTTCTTTTATTCCCACCCTTTTGGCGTCGGTATGTACACAATATGTGCACACTACCAATGTTTTGACGAAGTGATTACAGTTTCTACGGTAGCACATGTGCACGGGGAGGACGTTAACCTGGAGGCTTGCTCGAGAGCAGTGACGCCGCTCGGAATTGCGCTTAAGACAGCAAAAGGGGTGACGGCACCCAAACGCCGGCCTTTCGTCACCGCACACCGATACCGGTGAAAGCATACCAAGAACTCTTCGAACCACCTGTTCCTCTATCGTGGTTCATCACTCCCGTGTGTCTCTCCTTAAACGACAACGACACCTGGTCGCCGGCGTGAACACGCGTGTTCCTTGTGCTCCATCCCCATGACCCTACCGACTGATACGAAAAGTGGTTTAATTCCCATGTACCGTAAGTACCAGCGTTTTGCCACCCGGTAACGTCGCGTGATGCCGTTATTGTATTGTGTGCTTCTTTTGCACCGCCGTCACGTTGCCCACCTGCAATTGGACACGACTATGCTCAATCGAGATTGGTTAACGGTAGACATGCCATATCGTCGTTTCTCTTTTTCCTAGTGTTAAACAGATCGGAGTCATCGCACAGGGATGTGCGTTAAGAATGCGAGACCGAACGAGTTAGGTAGTTCCGTTGCCGCACAGGGATCGGAATGTTGGCCTGTATCGGACTCTTGGCACCCCCGCTGGAGGAAAATCTCTCAGAACGACGTGATGTATACATCGCACGGGATGCAGGATGCAAGGACCGCGATACCAACCGTATTCAAGAAGCGGCTTGATTGGTAGACGCCGACATCCGACACACGCATATTCTTGTGCTTAATACAACAACTTTCCTGACCCCCCCCCCCCCTCTGTGGTGCCCTTGATTTGGCGGTTCAGCAACATTTTCGAAGACTTGAAGGCGGCTATCCTTTTGCGCCGCATACCACCTAATAGTGGGATAAGAGTCAGGTGTTCGAGGCAGGCTGGACGCGAGAATCTACCTTCCTTCTCTGTTTGCGCCGCTTGCGGGCAGCGGTCGCAGCAGCAGCCAGCAGCAGCAGCAGGTTGAATTGATCGGCATGGGCATGGGAGCGTTCTTCTTGGGGCTGGCGGCAGCGCCGTTATTCCTCTGTTCGGCGTTCGTCCCCCCCGCGGGTGAGTTGACGAAGGGCAGCAATTATGGCACGCCGTTATCATCGTTCCCGTTGTGCACCGATGTGCACTCTACAAGCCTTGTCTGTTTCGTTTCTATCAAGGTGCAAAGCCGGATCCCGATCTCCTACTGGTGTAGCATGCCTTCAGGCCGTCAGCCTAGAGTGCTGACATCTCCGGCCTGTTTGGCCTACATAGTTACAGCTGGGGTTATACAGCCGTATGGGTCGAGGCACCATATCTACGAACGTGCTTGCTCGCATTTTTCAAAATAATCAAGTTGTCGATGATTTTTCCGCGCGATCGTGCGCTAAAGTAGTCGTCATGATGGATAGGTATTGTGTTGCAGTTGACAGCACAGTACTTGTTGCTGCTCACTGTCTTAGTGGAAGGGTCTGATTGAGTCTGCTGGTCTGACCGGTTCGTTTGGCCGATCGGGCCGGGAGCAAGCGTTGCAAGGCGGTGGAATCTGAAAAACAAGAACGCACTGCGGGCTGTATTGCTATGGGCCAAGGTGATTTTTTCCACTCACCCTTCGCCGCCGAGAAAAAAACAAAAAAACGACACTTTGGATATGGAGTGTTTGCTCTACCACTGGCTTGTGAGGTACTTGCAGACTGTAAACAGAGCATTTTTGTACATGGCCCGCGCCGGTGCCGGAGCTCTGTTTATATCATTTTCCTCTTTTTCGGAGAGAGTAGCAGAGGAAGGTATCCTGGTCCATGGTCCATGTTGGCCCCTCTCTGGTGACGTTGGTTTCTTTTTGCCATGCGGTGTTCGCCCATGATCATAATGCAGGGGACGAATTGTGCCAAGAATTTGAAGCAATCGACAGACAGAGGAAGCCAGCCTTATCAATTGGAAGACGCCACTCCGCCGCCCCTCCGTTCCTGCCGTTTACGCGCCCCTGTCGTGCTGCTATCCAAATTCAACGATGAACGAACCTCACTGCGCGTGCAATGTGATTGCCCTCTCCCGGTGTGCACCACCATGGTGTAGGCTTCAGGAGTTCCGCTTCCACCGCGGCAGCGGCAGGAGGCTTTCCTGCCTCGTCCCGCGAGGGCCCGGTTCTTGCCGCCGAGAGGCTCCCGCTTTTCATGAGCGTGGCCGGCAACGGTGATGGAGACCATGCACAGCATCAACCGGACCAAAAAGAAGCACGTTCTTCCAGGGCACAGTTCGTCGGGCGGGTGTCCGCGGGAGTGGTGGCGGCGACGGCGGCTTCCGGGCTTGCTGCTGGGGGTCTTGGAGTTGGGGCGGGCCCGGTGTTTGCTGACAGGCAAGAGGCGCTTCCAATACGTATCTTCTTCGCCGCCTTTTGCGTGTGTACCCTCTGCCGTGCTGTACATCGGCCGGCGCTGTCCTCTGGCACGCGCTGTTGGTGTTGTCGGCGGTGGTGTTTGCGCATGACGGTGTTGTGTTTGTTTGTTTTTTCAGAATGGTTGCGTTTTTCTTGTAGTGGTCCATTTCACTTGAACGTCAAGAACGCGTCCCCTTGGGCGTGGATGGCTTCTGAGGCTGTCGCCTGTGTTTCACAGGAAGAAGGAGGGTGGGTGTGTGGTGCTGCTCGAGAGCATTTTGCCGAGTTCCGACAATGGTCGGTATCTAGTTGCTCTTACCTCATGGTGTCTGTATTAAGTTGCACCAAGTCTTGAATTTTTGCAGTTTGTTTTCCGAATCGCCCAATTGGTCGTCAAGGACCGATAGTGATAACAGTCGCACCGCCACGCTCCCCACCTGCCGATAAGCTTGATGCATCCATTTTGGGATCGAGGTATTCTAGCGTGCGACGACTTGTCTCGCGTGCTCCTCCGCAGGATTCGACCGTCGCTGCGTGTGTGTTCGAATGGCTTGCCGCCACCTGCTCTTCCTTCCGTGTTACCGTGGTGTCATGCCCCATCTGCTTCTCTGTACCCCCCTGCGTGTGCCGCTGCTGCTACTGCTGCTGCTGTTGCTGCTGCTGCTTTGGCCAATCAGCACCGGTAAGTACTCTTCCAAGGCCACCGCTAGGAAGCGGTACCTTCCGCGGATCGTGAAGTTGGTCAACGCTTTCCAGATGCTCAAGAAGGATATCGCTAGCGGCAGGTAACTCCATGTTCCTTTGTCTTTCCCGGTTTGAATGGCACGTGCTCCCTCCGCTACTCGTACCCACATTTCCTTGTTGCACACATCATTCAACCGTTGCTCAACACCCATGTTGTGGTGTGTGTGGTTTTGTACTGTTTCCTTTCATCCGTCCTCGTCGTATGCGTGCCTTCCATGCCTCTTTGTATCGCGCAGATAATTTCACTCTACCGTTGGGGAAAGAGGTTTGAGAATATGTAAAAGCGAAATTGCGGTCGCGTGTCTCTTAGCGGGAATTACTTCTGCAAACCGCACCCCTCCTCATCAGAAATAGTTACGTTACATTGCTCACAAAGCTAAAGCGTATTTTTGGATATCCCTGTCTGAAACGTGCCCGACAAGGTCGTGGAGGTCGCTCATGTGTCCCATGCCTATTTTGGCACCAGTGCGATGCGTCTAGGCCCGTCACCTAAAGGTGTTGAAACCGTTGTTGGGGAATCATTTGCCACCGAACGCACTATGCATTCATACCACAGCTGCTCGTTGATCGAATTTTCATGTTGTCCATGTTAGACCGCTGCTTGTTGGTCGAACTTCATTACCGCCGCTGCTTGTCGGTCGAATTTCACATTGTCCATACAATGCCGCTTCTTGTTGGTCGTTTCATGTTGTGGTATCAATATAACACTACTGCTTGTTGGTCGAACTTCATGTTATCCATATAGCACTGCTTCTTGTTGGTCGGATTTGACATTGTCCATATTTCACCGCTTCTTGTTGATCGTTTCATGTTATGTATCCATAAACACCGCTGCTGCATGTTATCCAGGTAACACCGCTTCTTCTAGTTGGATGAATTATACCCCCGCTGCTTGTTGGTCGAATTTCAGTGTACCCCTATAGCACCGCTTCTTTTCGGTCGAACTGTTTTTCTCCGTTGTCTTTGTCTTTGTTCAGCGCCTCACCCAAGAGCGAGTTCTTCGTGGATGTGCTTGCTGACTCCGTCTCGGCCATGGACCTGTACGGCTCGTCCATGAAGGTAGGCATCATCAACTTCACACGGATTTTTTGTTGTCATACATACTCTACATGCATGCATCGTGGTGGTGGTTGCGAAGGATACGAAAGGGAAACGAAACCCCCATTTTGGCTTTTCCAGTAAAGTCTATCCATATGCATGTTTCGAGTGCGCGTCTTTCGTCCTTTGCGATCTGGCACGCACAATGAAGACCTCTCCCCAGATCTCCGCAGACTTGATCGACCTCGGCGATGGACATTCGGCATGGAAAATCCAATAATCCCCGCGCGCGTTTGATCTGGTGTAGCTGCCCCGTGCCGTAGAACTTGTCCGTCCCCTCTTTTCCGCCAAAAAAACAGGATCCGGTTGAACGGGTTGGTGCTCCAAGACTTCATTTCACTCATTCATTCATGAGACCATCGAACACCATTACCCGTTCTTGTTGGTGTATGGATCGGTTTGGCGTTGTTCCCTACATGCCTGCCGGCAGAAATGTCGTTTCCACCGCTCGACTAACCGCTTACTATTTTTCTTAGCATGATTGAAGGTAGCGTTGTTAGGGCAGGCCGAAGAAACAGGTGCCGCAGTTCCGATACTGCTCTGTCAGCACACTCGAAAGCTTAGAGGGCTGCTCGCGCAGACACACTGGCAAGACACTCATCTCCAAGCGCGGCGCAGCCGCAGTACTTGTGTACTTGAGGCTGCAAGGTTCTCTTGATCAGCGTCAGTGAAGTTGGACACACATACGCTGTCCCCTGCTGTGGTCGTGCCCTAAAGGCACGTACGCATGCGCCGATATTCGGACAAGACTTTGTTGGAGCCACGTGTTGACCGACCGCCTATTTTTCGCCTTGTAGCCGCTCGCCGATGACGTTTCTTGCTCTGCTTCGGGTTCCAAGCATTTCCCCTTCTTTTGATAGACAATAAAGGCACACTGAGTGCTACCACTCATTCCGCGGATCAACCCCACAAAACGAGGCCTGGAGCACCGACCCTGCCGTCACGTGCGATCATTGGAGAGCACGCACAAGAAAACACGTGCCCACCCAGCCTACTCCGCAATCTCTTCACGAGTCCCCCCTTGCCTCGCTAACGGCACGCCCCACTCCCGTCTTCAGAAAGGAGAGACACCGGACAGTAAGTCCAGGGCGCTGCAGCAGCTCGCTCAAGACTTCGGGTCCACGTGCACCTCCATCGGCAAGAGCCTTGGCAAGAAGGGCGGCGAAGAGGAAGCCAGCAAGGCCTACGACAAGGCTTCGTCCATCCTTGTCAAGTACCTCGAAGGAGTCGAGCTAGACCCTCTAGGCAGCGATGTTTACAACTAGGACTGACAGTAGTGCCGCACCTACCCATGACTATTTATTTTCCCTTTTGGAAAGGGAGCGGGAACGTCTGTGTCGGCTAGCACACCGAGAGAGAGACAGAGAGACAGAGAGAGAGAGAGAGAGAGAGAGAGAGAGAGAGAATGGGGGGGAAGACATAGTGTGACGGCTGCCCTTGCCGATCGGTTCACATTTGCTGCAACCATAGACGTGGGAAGCAGGATTCTGCGCGTGTCATCATGCACGCGCAATAGAGGAGAAATTGTCGGAGTGCGAATGAATGTCGTCTTTTTATGTCCCACGGGTAGCGCCCTGCGTACACGACTGTGTTGGCGAATGGCGGGATCCGCACTGAGCCATGAAGTGAGCAAGGGCATTACTACATGTAGGCCGCTCTTTGTCTATCTCTCATGTTAGCGCAGTTCAGGAGTGAGTTTGGCGTGATTGGTTGTTGTCCGGGGGCGGTATTGTTCCTTTAGAGTACGTATTGGGTGGTGGCGACTAGTAGAGAATCGCCTGAGACAAGTTCTTTGTGAGTAGAGAGTGATAGAGGCGGACCAGCTACAGCTCTCTGGTAAACGAGTCGCGATCTGTTCAAAGCAAGCCAAGTCATGCTCCAGTCATGCCACTTGACCCCATATTTCATGAGATTTTGACTGGGTGAAGGCCTACTCGTGACCATACAGCTCATTCCCAAGCTCTAGCTTGGGTCTCAGTCGATCAAAAGTCTTTTTTTTCCGTCTGTGGAGTTTTCAGTAGCATAGCGGACCCCTTGCCCGACCGGGTCGAAAATGCCGATCTCAGCCCACACTGCGAACCTCCGAGAACTACCAGCAGTTCTGGGTAGCTGAGACGATTTCAAGACCTCTCACAGTCGTTTGAGCAGCTATCGTTTGCTGTGGGTCGATAACCAGTGCCTCCGTCGACAAGAAGATCTGCGTTACATCGTCACATCGGAACGACCAGATCGTCACTTCGGAACGACCAGATTGGTTCACTTGTCGTTGAGGGTCCTCTTTTTATAGATACTTTTGTATAAGAGGCGGACCCCTTGCCCGTTTTATTGTTGTTGTTGATGTGCGGACGAGACAGAGGACTGCCGATCTCAGCCCACACTGCAAACCTCCGAGAACTACCAGCAGTTCTGGGTAGCTGAGACGATTTCAAGACCTCTCACAGTCGTTTGAGCAGCTTATCTCTCGCTGTGGGGCGAAAACCAGTTTCGACAAAAGGATCTCATTGGAACGACCAGATTATTATTAGTTCGGGGTCCTCCTTTTATAGAGTCGTCTTCTTTTTTTTCGCATACGCGTACCACATTGAAAATACAGGTGACGCTATGATTAATCCATTGCTAATCTGTCTCAG